AGGATAAATCTCCCCAGACTTATCCAATGGCTGTGAACATTTAAAACTAACACGAGCCTCAATAAGTGTCCAATTTTAGGGTTTTACACAGAATTGTACCAAACAACATGAATCAAACATGCACTTTATTTATTTACACTAAATGTAAAAAGTACATCAAATCGGATTGAAGCTAAGGGCATACAAAACTGTCTAACACATGCTCTTATCAGTAGGTTGAAGTCCCTCATAAAAATACTGAATAAGTAGTTGTTCGCTGATTTGGTGATGGGGACAGCTTGCACATAACTTCTTAAAGCGTTCCCCTTATTCATGTAAGGACTCCCCGTTATATTGCCTTATACCGCAGATTTCTTTTCTGATATTGGCCACCCTTGAAGCTGGGAAGTACTTTTCTAGGAAGAGCCTCTTCATCTCGTTCCATGTTGTAACACTCCCGGAGGGTAGATAATAGAGCCAATCCTTAGTCGAATCCTTCAGAGAAAACGGGAAGGCTCTCAATTTGATTTGCTCTTCAGTTACCCCCATGGGTTTCATGCTTGTGCATACCACATGCAGCTCCTTCAAGTACTTGTGAGGATCCCCACCTACAAGACCATGAAAAATGTGTAAGAGATGTATCAATCCAGATTTTAATTCAAAATTAACATCAGCATCTAAAGCAGGAAAAGTTATGCATAAGGGTTGCTGATTTAAATCCGGTGCAGCCAGCTCTTTCAGGGTTCGATTTCCGGCCATGATGTCCTCTTCTCTCAAAGCAGATCCGCTAACAGGTAGAGAATCGAAGACTGGATCATTCTCCTCGAAATGACTCCGAGCTTCCCTCCTTAACCTGCACAAAGTCCCTTCTATTTCCGGATCGAACTGCAAATCACCTTTCTTAGAGTATCGAGTTACATGCATAAATTGAGGAAATCCTAATAAACCCTAAACTACATACCATAAAACAAACAAAAATAATAAAAAAATACAAATAAAAATCTAGAATGTTAAACAAATAAATAAATGAATAAAACAGAAAATCATCAAACAATCAAAACGATCTATAGAAAAAGGGAATTTTTTTTTCAAAAATTTCGAGAACTAAACAATGATCACGAGAAGCACAAAACTGATTAGAATACTCCCTGGCAATGGTGCCAAAATTTGGCATGCTGTCGTAGGCACCCAAAAATAAACCTCTACTCRTAAAGTTGGAATGTAGTAGTGCGAGTAGGGATCATTCCCACAGAGAGTATCTAACCCAAATTATGTGCTACGTGAATCAAAGATGGAGCGGGGTGTATGTAATGAAAATCAAATTTAAAATAAGGAAAATCAGAATTAATAAAGAACACAATTTAAATGAGAATTTAGGTAACTTCGAGTGCTGAAATTAATCAAGGAACAAATCTTGGTCTAGGATAACATCCACCATCAGAATTACAATACTGTTCATCGATGCAAAGATAAATCAATTCAGACTTTCAATATTCATCATAGGAATTAATTTTCCGCATCTTCCTACTATCAGTTAATCGGAAAACAAGCGATCCTCTTAACCCTTACTACTGAACAACCCCTAAACAAGCGTTAAAGATTTAATGTAGCAATAGCATTAAGCATTAGAGATCGATGAAGCTAAATAACATAAGCACAAGCGGTTGCATTTAATTTAGTCGACTGTTCTTCCTAGGATCTAACAATTTCTGACGCAGCAAATCATTAAACCCTAGTTGCTTCACAGATTAGAGGGATCAAACAATTACGGATTTGATATCTAATCTAGCAATAGATTGTAACGAATAATAAACTAGTAGGCCTTCCTAACAACCAAACGAAACAATCATATATATAAACATAGAAGAACATTCGATATCCCAAGCATGAATTAAACAATAAAAACTAAATTAGATCTCACAGTTTGGTGGATTCTGAGGCTTTTGCTTCCTTTGACCAAGTACAAGAGTTTAGGCACGCATGGTCATGGTGAAAACTCCAAGAAAATCAGAGAATGAAGAAGAGAGGGGCGGAGAGAAGAGAAGAGAAGAGAAGACAAGAGAGGTTCGATTGCTCCCAATCTGCTTGCCTTGTCTCTAGGGTTTTCTCCTCTTATATACTTCCCCCAAGAGAAACCTACAAAATCTCCTAAAATTCCTCTAAGTCAATCTACAAGTCTGGCTTATCCAAGAAAGACTCAAAAATAAGATAAAGCAATGTTCTTGTGTGAGTGGGAGAGTGATGAAATCGTGGATGAAAGTTTCAAGGCTAAGGAATGTTTTCAACACGTCACCAGTGCAGTTGCATAGAATTCGGGCCCGATTTTGATATCGATTTAGTCCGAATCTATCAAAACTCAGAACAATAAAATTGTATAACTTTTCCTTATCTTTCCAACGCATCTTGAATCATCTCAATCAGAGTCCGGATGAGAGTGTTATGCTCCATCTACCACACAGCGCTGAAACTGTGTAAAATGACCCGATTAGCCTTGTTTCTCACCTAACGCCTCCTTTCGTGCCTTAAACCAAAATATAAGAATTATGAGTGAATTTGGGTATAAACCAAACATAAAAGGCTAATTATTAAGAGAGAAAAATATGATATTTTTCATTCTCATCAAATCGAAAACCAGAATTAAAAGAAAGAAAAACAGAATTAAAAAGAACAAAATTTAAATGGGAAGCAAGGCAACTTAGAGTGCTGAAACTAATCAAAAGAACGAGTCTTGGTCTAGGATAACATCCACCATCAGAATTTCACTACTTCTCATCAATGCAAAAATAAATCAATTTAGACTTCAAATATTCATCGTAGGAATTGGTTTCCTACATCTCCCTATCATAGTAAATCAAAAAACAAGCAATCCTCTTAACCCTTACTATTGAACAACCATCAAACAAGCGTTAAAGATTTAATCCAGGAATAGCCTTAAGTATTAGAGGTTGATGAATCTAAACAACACAAGCACAAGCGGATGCATTTAATTCAGTCAAGTGTTGTTCCTAGGATCTAACGATTTCTTACGTAGCAAACCATTAAACTCTACTTGCTTCGCATATTAGAGGGATCAAATAATTACAGATTTGATATCTAATTTAGCAATAGATTGTAATAAATAATAAACTAGTAGGCCTCCTAGTAATCAAATGAAACAATCATAGACATAAACATAGAAGAACATTTTATATTCAAAGCATGAATCAAACAATAAAAATCAAATTAGATCTCACAATTTGGTGGATTCTGAGGCTTCTGCTTCCTTCGACCAAGTATGAGAGTTTAGCCACGCATGGTCATGGTGAAAACTCAAGAAAATCAGAGAATAGAGAAGAGAGGGGAAGAGAAGAAAAGAGAGGTTTGACCCTCTTTTTCTGCTTGATTTCTTGATTTTCTTTTCTCCTTTCTTTCCTTCTCTCTACTTCCCACAAAAGAAGCCTACAAAATCTCCTAAAACTTCCATAGGTAACAATCTCCAAGTCTGACTTATCAAGAGAAAACTCAAAAATAAGATAAAATGAAGTTCTTGTGTGAGTGGAAGAGTGGTGAATTCGCGGATGAAAGATTCAAGGCTAAGGAATGTCTTTAACACGTCACCAGTGGAGTTGCAGAGAATTTGGGCCCGATTTTGATCTCGATTCAGTCTGTGTATATCAAAACGTAAAACATGGAAGTTGTAGAGTTTTTCCTTATCTTTCCAACGCATCTTGAATCATCTCAATATGAGTCCGAATGAGAGAGTTATGCTCAAGCTACCACACGGCACCAAGACTGTGTAAAATTACCCGATTAGCCTTGTTTTTCACTTACCTCCTCCTTCCGTGCCCTAAACCAAAATATAAGAATAATGAGTGCATTTGGGCATAAAATAAATATAAGACTAAATATTAAGAGTGAAAAATATGATATTTTTCGTTCTCATCATGGGACCCTAACATTGACCTCACAAAAGCCCATTTGGGTTCAACCTAGCTTCTGTGACAAGGCCTCGTTGAATTCACTGCTAAGCACAGTGAACCCCAGAGTCCATTAGTATGAGATCTCAATGGGCCCAACATTTACACTAAATGGTCATTGATTTCAGTCATCTTATGAAAGCCCAAGGACAACGGTTTTAAGTGAGATTAGCCCATCAGGTATTACAACCCTAAATGGTCTTACACTTAATCTCTCAGCTCTTAATGATTAAACACTACCCGAAAAGAGAGGACCTCTCCCTCGGCTGCAAGGTACAGTGTTGCGCTCTCTGCTCGAATGGTTATCGGGTATTAAAACCTTTTTCATAAAACATAATATATATATATATATATATTTTTAGATGGTAAAGGATCATCCTTTACCAACCTTGTGATACGATTTATATTAATGTGGCCAAGTTGGTAATGCTACAGGCATGTGGGATTAACTATATCACGAGTCCTCTTCTTGGGGATTAATTCTGACGTAGTTTCTATAATGTTTGTTTCCAAAGAAGGATGGAGAACATAGAGACCATTCTCATGTTCTCCGTATGCGAGGAATTTGTTATTCCATTTAATAGTAATCTCATTACTAAATAAGATAGAATAACTATCCATGCACAATTTTGAGACAGAAATCAAATTTCTTCTTAAATTAAGTATGAAAAGACAATTTTTAAGTACAATTATTCATTCTCTGAAAACTAGTTCTATAGTTCCTATGGCTATAGTTACAACTATTGCAGAAGTTTCCGAGTAGAGCGCCACTTCTCCGTCACTCAATCTTCTGCTTATCTTGAACCCCTACAGTGAGTTACACACATGAGTTGAAGCCCCAGAGTCAATACACCAGGAAGCAGAAGTGACCAACAAATTGGTCTATAATGGGTTGTCAAAGCCCTCAAAATTAATACTAGTCCCACAATAAAATATTTGYAGTAAAAGTGGTTCTAGGTCGAATCYCAYARGGAGCAAATCAATAATCTCTTAGCCGAATGGGTAATGTAATTGAGTGAGA